AATACTTTTCTCTTCCCTTTCTCTGTCCTGTCAAGACCTTAGGCACATGCACCCAGTGTGTTTCTCAAGTAATGAAAAAGAAGCTCTTCTTTACAAAATAATTCCAGTTTATAAATACAGAGAAAATGTCTAAATTAGAAATATCACCATAATGCTGGGACCAGCAGATGGTGTAGTAGTTACGTCACTGGACTCCCACATGGCTGACTACAGTTCAATTCCAAGACCCAGCAGCTTAAAGCTCATGCCAGGCGTGTGTGTGTGCATGCCCCAAATCCCAAGAGCAGACTGGAGGAGAAGGGATTGTGGTGTGGCCATCCCCTGGCCCCCAGGGGATAATTTCTCGTTATCTGTCTCTCCATCTCTCTGGTGAACATACACACCCTATAGTAAAAATCTCTCTAAGAAATATCACCATACTGTAACCTCTTATGAAACAGGTGGTTGAGATAAAATAACACAATAGCTGTTAAAACCCACTCAAACCTCTGATCAGTCTTAATATGAAAGCTGAAATAAAACCATTTTTTTCTATAACCTGGTGTAAACAATATGAAATATATAGCATTACTTATGAAATATCTTAGCAAAAATGATTAACCTAAATTTTATAAAGCCTTTAAATATAACCTCCAGTTTACAAGAAATACAGGGAATAAAAGAAAAGTTACATGATGTGAGAAATAATCAAATAAAACCAGAAGATGAAACAGTCTACCAAAAACTGGTGCAACTTGTTAAAAATAATAATAATAATATGGGGGCAGCAGGTGGCATAGTGGTTAAGGTGCTGGTCTCGCACATGGCCAACCACGTTTCAAGTCCTGGACCTGGTGGCTTGAGATTCACATCAGGCTTATGTGCAATGCATGCCCAAAATCCCACAGGAGATGGAAGAGAAGGGATTGTAGTGTGCCCATCTCCCCTGGGTGGGGGGTGATTTCTTGCTTTCTGTCTCTGTCTCCCTGGTGACTGCATGCACCCTATAGCAAAAATCTCTCTACAAATATTTATATAATAATAATTGCATGAGGAAAAAAAAATGTGGCAGAAATCAAATACAATACATGTCCCTTATTTGTTTTGTAACTACAATAAACAAACTATGAAACAGCTGGAGAGTTACATGGTAGCTAAGGCAGCTGGATCACATATGGCTGCCTGTGCAGTTCAAGTCCCAGACCTGGTGCTTTGAAAAACATATTAGGTACATGTGTGTGTGCATGCCCAAAATCCCAAAGGGAGGAATGAAGACCGTCACCTAAAGGAGATGCTTTCTCACTTTCCTTCTCTTCTCTCCGTCTTTAGTAAGCACACGCACCCTCTAAAAAGTTCTTTAAAAATTAAAAATAAAAAACTGGAGAAATTTAAAATATGGACTGGGTAGCAGGAATTATTATTAATATTGTTAGGTGTGGTAATGATATTATGGTTATTTTTTAAATGTCCTCATTTTCATTTACTTTAAAATACTTAAGTGGGACGAGCAGATGGCATAACGGTAATGTCACTGGACTCCCATGTGGCCAGCCGTGGTTCAAGTCCCAGACCCGGTCACCTCAGACTCACACTGGGTGCATGTGCCTAAAATCCCAACAGGAGAATAGAGGCGAAGAGATTGCGGCGTGGCCATCCCTCCTGGGAGGGTGATTTCTCGCTTTCTGTCTCTCTCTGTCTTTCTGGAGCATGCACGTGCCCTATAGCAAAAAGTTCTCCAAAAAAAAAAAAAAAAACTCTCTAAAAAACAACTTAAGTAAAAAGGCAATAATAAAAACAAAAATAGATGAAACATATATGGCAACAACCCATATGTCTACTGATTGGTAAATGAACAACTTGTGGTATGTCTGCACAGTGGAACACCACTCAGCAATAAAGAGGAATGGGCCTACTGAGTGCTACGGCATGTATGAACATCATGTGTGCATGCCTAAGATCCTGGGAGGAGAACCTCCGGAGGAGAGACTGTGGCGTGGCCAAGCCCCCGGGGGATGATTTCTTGCTCTCTATCTCTTTGTCTCTCTTTCTTTCTCTCCAGCAAGTGCATATGCCCTATAGCAAAAATCTCTTTCTCTGAAAAAAGAAATAACAAATAAAACTATAGGGACCACTATCCAAAGCATGTCCAATATGATCTCAAAAAGAAAACAGACTACAATTGGTCACAGTGAAAAAAGTGTGTGTGTGTGTGTGTGTGTGTGTGTGTGTGTTTTAATTTATCTTCAAAAGAGAGAAGGTAAGGGGAAATACAAACTTAATTGTCACCATTACACCAAGCCCATCCTAAAATTGGTAAAGAGAACAAGACGATAGAACAGAGTAAAACAACACTCTGCGAGGTAATCAATATGGGCAGGTTACTGGTTCAAGTCTGGCAATTTCCCTGACTATGCCAAGAACACCCCTACCCATGATCCAGGGCTTGCTGCAAGCTGGTGGGAGATCACAAGATCACACCATCAAGACCCTGTTGGAGGTTTTGTCTCTCTCTCTCGTGCTCATGGACTAGATAAACTTAAAATTAAATGGATAAAGTTAACCTTATTTAGTAATATAATAATTACATTCTGCTTATTCCATAAGCAAGAGAGACAGAGGCATGAAGGAAGAAAGAGAAAGAGACAGCATCCCTAACTGGGTCTTGACACCGCGATCTCTCCTTCGGCCAGCTGTGTGTCATAAGTACACATGTGCCTGGCATCTTCAGGGAGGTCTCTGAATGAGACCCAGAACCACCTCATGTGGGTCAGCCTTGCAGAGCATCCCAGTTTACTACTGCACCACTGCCCAGGCCTGAAATACATACTTTAATTAGGTGAATTGCATGGTATGTGAATACATTTTTAAATGTATTCATTTCCTATTGTTTCAGTGGTAAAGAACAACACAATTGTATTATCTTACAGTTCTGTAGCTGAGAAGTCTGACAGTTCTCATGGCGCCAAGGTCAAGGTGTCAGTCAACTGCACTGCATCCCTTTCTGGAGGTCGGAGGCGGAAATCGTTTCCTTGCCTCTTCCTACTTCTAGAGATTGCTCACATTTCTGGACTTCCTCTATCGTCAAGGCAGCAAGGGCAGGTTGAGTTCTTCCGTATCACATTGAATAGCAAATGACTTTCTCCTCCACCTGCCTCTTCCACTTTCAAAAATCCTTGTGATAACACTGGGTCCTTCTAAATGATCCAGGACAATCTCTATTTTAGGGTCACTTGATTAGCAACCTTAATTCTACTGGCTACCTTAATTCTCCTTTGCCAGGTAATGTAACATTCACAAGTCCTGGGAACCAGGTCATGGACATCTCTAGGGAACCATTATTCTACCTGTCACACTAACGCTGTTAAAAATAAATAAATAAAACTGGCCCAGCTCAATGGCATTAACAGTAATGTGCTGCTCAAGAGAAATTGAACTCCAGGGAACCAGCGGTCAGCGTAATGGCTATGTCGCTGGACTCCCATGTAGTCGACTGTGGTTCGCGTCCCGGACCCGGTGGCTTAGAACTCACGCCGGGAGCGTGTGCATGCGTGCCCAAGATCCCGAGAGGAGAATGGAGGAGAAGGGATTGCAGCGTGACCATCACCCCTGGGGGTGATTTCTCGCTTTCTGTCTCTCTGTCTCTGTCTGTCTGTCTGGTGAGCGCACGCACCCTATAGCGAAAACCTCTCCAAAAAAAAAAGAGAAATTGAACTCCACATGGCAAAAGCAGTTCGAATCCCTGGCCCACTCCTCCTGAAACTTGACAGGCACATAGGCGAGTGCTCAGGATCCAACAGGCTGGAACAGTGGAGGAAGGAAATCACAGTGTGAATAGACCCTCTGGAAGATTCTCTCTCTCTCATGTGTATGCACTCTCTCTCGTGAACAAAAGGAAATAAATACATAAATTTAAAATCTAGTTATTCGATATATGAGAATTCAATATTCTAGATATTCTACATTATTTAAAGTCTGTCAATTTTACAATACAGAATTAAAATGAGTTTGGTGGTTTTTTTTTAACCTAGTGAATTGTCAAGGGTCAAAAGCCTAAAAATACACCAAACTGACAAAGGTGTAAGGAAGCAGACCCTTAACAGACCCTCTCAGACACTGCTGTGAACTGGTACAGTTGTCCTAGAATTCCGTCTGGCACACACACACCAAAATTACAAAGGCACACACACCGACCCAGCGATTCTACTTCAAAGAATTTACATTAGAGATACATTTGTATGTATGAGGAATGATGTATGCAGCATAATCTGTTACAACCAAAGACAGGAACCAATCCAAATGTCTACCAATAGAAAACTGAATAAAGGGCCAGCTGGTGGCACGGTGGTTGAGACGGCTGAGTCCCACACGGCTGGCTGCACAGCACGAGGCCTGGACCTGATGGCTTGAGAAATATACCAATCACGTATACCCAAAATCCTAAGAGGAGAACGAAGGAAAGGGAATTACAGCGTGGCCATTCCCTCCACCCCACCACCCAGGGGAGATTTCTCATTTTCTTTTTCTGTCTCTCTGTCTCTCTCCAGTGAGTGCACATGCCCTATAGCCCTGTAACAAAACAAAACAAAAAAACTGATTTAATGTATTCTATGGATACTCTATAGCCATTTAAAAAAATTAACAAGGCAGCTGCGTATGTGCTTACAGGTACAAGCTATGGTTAACTGCGGGGAGAAAGCAAGGAACAGACGGTATGTGAAGTACGCCACCATTTGTATTTAAACAAATGTTAAACCGCATGGGACTTAAATAAGCACTATCTGTAGAAGGATTCAAAAGAAACCACTGCCAGTAATCATTTCTAGAGAAGGAGAAAAGAAAAGCTTATTTACTGTTCTTTGTACCTTTTAGATTTTCTACTGGTATATGTATGACTGATAGACAGGTAATGCACACGTGCATGCAAACAAACAATATTAAAATATATTTTTCAAAAAATTAAGAAACCACACATATTCATGCGGCCCTCTATACAACCTTTTAATTTCCGGGTAATGTCTTACCTGCTAGATGGTGCAGGGAAAGAAAATGAGAGAAGCTGATTCCAGAAAGGGTCATTTTCAGAGACAGATTCTGTGCCTGATAACTTTTTTAAGTATTCGTTTTTTGGAAGATCACCGATTCTGCTGCTATTCGATCCCATCTTCTAATCTGGTAGATAACCTATCTTTAAACCTGCATTTCCACAAGGCAACCTATTGAAGAAAAGAAAGAAAAAGTTGTTCAAAACAGTCATCATACTTTATATGCTCTTAATTTATACGTCAAAACTATAAACTTCATAAAGGAAATCACCTCTTTTTATTTGTAAACACACTGGACTTCAAATACAAAGTTAAAAGGGGAAAAGGAGGCTAAAATTTGTCTTAGCCTGTGAACACAAATGCCCACAAAAAAGTGTGTAAAAGCAAATTCATAATGATAACTTATCAACAGGCTGGAAATTCAAACTCTTATCATGGTAACAAAGAAATACAGATACTAGAGACCGGCAGATGGTGTAATGGTTACATTGCTAAACTTCCACAGGGCCGACCGTAGTTCAAGTCCCAGACCCAGTGGCTTTAAACTCATGCCAGATACATGTGCATTAGTGCCCAAAAGCCCAAAAGGAGAATGGAGGAGAAGGGACTATGGTGTGGCTATCCCCCCTGGGGGGTGACTTCTTGCTTTCTGTCTCTGTCTCTGTGTCTCTGGCGAGCACATGCACCTTATAGCAAAAATATATATATATATTCTTTAGAAAGAGAGAGAGAGGCAGGCAGAGAATAAGTGGCCTGAGTGTACAAAGAGGGCAAAGCAATTCATGTCATTACCACGCGCTATCTACATTACAGAGAGAATGGGGACTGACCTGAATTACCTGCTGCCAACTGAAAGAGCCCGCAATCCTAAAGGAGTCACATTTAAAGTCTCTCATTCTGCTGTAATGCGTGTATAGTATGTTGACAAACCTCTTATTCTGAAACACGATCTCTTTTTATAATGTGCTATAGGGCATGTGCGCGCTCCCCAGAGAGAGACATAGAGCAAGAGAGAGAGAAAGTGACAAAGCACCATCAGGGGGATGACCATTGCCACAATCCCTTTTCCATTCTCTTGGGATCTGGGGCACTCAAGCACACATGCCTGGTGTGTTTTTCAGGCTGCTGGGTCTGGAACTCACATCTCACAGTTGACCATGTAGGATCTGACCACCTTACCTATCGTGCCACCTGCTGGCCCCACCATGAATTTTTTTAAAAAGAATGAATTATTTATTTATTTTGCTATAGGGCACATGCGCTCATCAGAGAGAGATAAGAACAAGAGAGAAAGTAAGCTGCCAGGTCTGGGACCCAAACCACAGTTGGCCGTGGGCGACCAGCACCTTAACCACCATGCCACCTGGTAGTGCCACCATGGATTTTTTTTTAAAACTGAAGCTACTTTATTCATCTTTCTACCTTCAAGGTCTCAACTAGCATATAACAGGCATTCTACAAACAGCATGTTGAAGGAACAAGTGAATAAAATACATAGTATCCACAAGGCTCTTCATTATCTGATGCTCTTGGTTACTAAGGGGCAAACTGATAGACCAGTTCAAAATGTGAATCGCTGTCTTCTTCAATAGTTCTAGATCATGTTTATCTCAAGTTGTTCAGAAGAGTTCACTGAATAACAAAACGGTGGTGAGACAAATAATAAATTATACTATTTTGAAACCACCATCACAATGAGAAGAAATGAAGTGGGCTCTGTGCCCAAAGAAAGCTCAGTACAGATGAAAATTTTTATCAGTCAGTGACTTCCTTACAAATGTCCTTCCTTATTCCACAAAGGCATGAAGCCAAGATCAGAATTTGGAGGCTTCCCACTTAACATTTCCCGAATGTCTGCACTCTATGACTGAAACTGATTGACTAACAGTTGTACAAACACAAGAGATGGGTGTGAATGTCAGATGAGGTGTGTGTGGAGGAGTGGGGCCTAACGAAGGCCATTTGGAGTGTGGTGTTATCGGTTGAAGATATTTTGATCAACAGGACTGGGGAGAAACGTTCACATATTGAAATGCTCACATTGTAAGCTAAACAATGCAATTGAATGTATATACAAAAAGAAATAAATTAAATTAAAAAAATAATAATTTGGAGGCGTGACTTCCTTGTTCTCTTTGAAACTAGACATAAGCTGATTATCTGAAGGTATGAAGCTTCCCCAGTGCACATGGGCAGCTGGGTCTTACAAATGTGAACGAGAAATACTGATCTGCTTTGATCAACTCCTTATCCTCTGCCCTAAACCTGAGAGCGCTCACTAATTTTATCCTCTCTAGTCATGGGTACAGTTACCCCAAGAATAGCTGACTCTGGTTAAGCTGGTTTATTACACCACCATATCAAAACAGCAATCATAACATTTAATTTCTTAAAATAAGAAGTGCTAAGCCCCATTAGAAAATACAATAAAGAGGGTCAGCTGATGGCATGGTGGTTAAGGAGGCTATATCCCACAGGGTCGACTGCAAAAAGTCTCAGATCTGGAAGCCTGAGACACACACTAGGCACATGTCTGTACATGCCCAAAACCCCAAGAGGAGAGTGGAGAAGGGATTGCAGCATGGCCACCCCTCTGGGGAATGCTTTCTCACTGCCCCCCAACCCCTATCCCATTCAACAAGGGCATGCTCATTAAAGCAATTTTTTTTTAATTCTGTAAAGAATTATTCTAAAAAATATAAGCTCCTGGGACCAGCAGGTGGTGTGGTGGTTAACATGCTGGACACTCCGACATGGCTGACCACAGTTCGGGTCCTGAACCTGGTGGCTTGCTTTCCTGCTTTCTCTGTCTCTGTCTGTCTCTCTGTGTGTGTCTCTCTCTGGTCAAATTAAAATGAACAAATAAAATTAAATATTTTTTAAATGTATATTTAAGCTCCTTATTTATAATACCCCATTCCAAAGCTATTTCATGTATTTTAAGCTATTTAACATTAATTTTTTCATGTTTTTTTATTGACGAATAATAACTGTATATTTTGGGTCATCAGGAAAGTCAGGACACATTTTTGCATAGAAAAACGTATAAAAATGTCATGACTTTCCAGATGACCTAATATTTATGGGGTACAATGTGATTTCTCAGTGCAAGAATACAATGTTTGGGCTAACCTATGGCCCTGGTGGTTAAGACAGCTGGATCCCACATGATCAGCTTTGCAGTTCTAATCCCAGGCCCAGTGGCTTGAAAAACATGCCAGGTATAAGGACATGTGTACCCAAAAATCCTGAAAAGAGGGAGAAATGGAGAAGAGATTTGCCACATTTCCCATTTGGGGGAGGAGTGGTGCCTTCTCACTTCTCCTCTCTCATGCTTTCTCTCTCTCCAGTGATGCACGTACCCCTCTGGCAAAAGTTAAAACAAAACAAAGAAAGAACAAAGAGGATAAAATGTGTAATGATTAAATTAGAGTGATTAGTATATCCAACACCTTAACCATAAAAATAAAAATTTTAAAAGATTTCTTTTTTTTTTTTTAAATTTGCTATAGGGTACGTGCACTCACCAGAGAGAGATAGAGAAAGAGAAGGGAGTTAGGGGTAATGAGAAAGCCAGCTGTCCAGTCCAGGACTCACACTGCAGTCAGCCATGTGAAAGTCTAGCAATTTAACCACCATGCCACCTGCTGGTTCTTAAAATTAAATTTTAAAATACAGTCTAACAAGGCCAGTCCTGTAGCCTCATTGTTAATGTAACAGGATCCCACATGGCCAATGGTGGTTTGAATACCAGCCCCAAAAGATGGAAAAACACACCAGGCATGTTTGTGTGTGTGCCCAAAATCCCAATAGAATAGAAAAACAGAAAGAATTATGATGCAACTATGCACCATGGCAGGTGCTTTCTCCTCTCTCTTCCTGGTGAGCATTCATACCCTTAGGCAAATGTAATAAATAAAATAACTATATCGAACAGATAGGAGTGCAGGGTAACATAAAAAAACCCATGTACAGGGCCAGCAGATGGCATGGTGGTTAGGCACTGGACTCTCACATGGCAGACCTTAGTTTGAGCCCAGACCTGGCAGCTTGCTCGCTTTCTCACCTTCTCTCTCCCTCTCTCTTTCTGGTGAACATGCATGCCATATAGCAAATTAAATAAATAAATAAATAAATAAATAAATAAATAAATAAAATGTAATAAATAATTCTTTAAAAAACAACCCATGTACATAACTGTCCATTTCAGCAGCAAATCTGATCAACTGTTTCTCCTTATCCAAGAAAGTATTTATAGATACTGCTAAAAGCTCCTCTCTGTACTACTGAAATCATTAGAATATATAGTTTATTTTTCTCAAGCATTTGTTTAAAGAATTATTTTATTTAACTTTATTTATTTATTTATTTATTTTTAATTTGACCAGAGAGGGACAGAGCAAATGAGAGAAAGAGAGAGGGAAAGTTAGAAAGCAAGCCACCAGGTCCAGGACTCAAACCATGGTCAGCTATGTGGGATCCAGCACCCTTAACCACCACACCACCTGCTGGCCCCTCATGTATTTCATTTTTTTAGATATTTTTGCTATGTATACTTGCTGGAGAGACAGAGAGAAAGAGAGAGACAGAGACAGAAAATGAGAAGCCATCCCCTAAAGGGGGTAGACACACCACAATTCCTTCTCCTCCATTCTCCTCTTGGGATTTTGAACACACACACACGTGCCCAACATGAGATTTTGTTTTTTTTTTTCTTTTTTTGGAGAGGTTTTTGCTATAGAGCGCGTGCACTCGCCAGACAGACAGAGACAGAGAGACAGAAAGCGAGAAATAACCCCCCGGGGGGATGGCCACGCCACAATCCCTTCTCCTCCATTCTCCTCTTGGGATCTTGGGCATGCACGCACACATGCCCGGCGTGAGTTTAAGCCACCAGGTCCGGGACTCGAACCACGGTCGACTATGTGGGAGTCCAGCGACATAGCCATTACACTAACTGCTGGTCCCTCCCAGTATGAGTTTTTAAATCTCCAAGTCTAAGATCTGAACCGTGGTTGGATATGTGGGAGTCCAGTGACATAACCATTATGCCATCTGCTGGTCTTTTCTGTGTATTATTTTTTCTTTTTTTTGGTAGTGGTTGTTGAGATTTTTGCTAGAGAGTTCATGCATGCACTTGCTGGAGACCCAGAGAGAGACAGAGACAGAAA